TGGCCTGTACCCCAGTTCTATATGAATAAATCTTTTTTAAAAAAAGAAATTGAGGTATAAAAGACTAAATAACTTTTCCAAGGTAACTAATAAAACCTAAATCTGAAACCATAAAATTTCTTTTTAGAGAATGTACTACAATTTAATCTATTATAATCTCTTCCCATATATTAAACCTAGTGAAAATAGTCAAGGTTTTACTATTTTGAAAATAAGTTTAGCAGTGAAACCAGTATGAACGGAATGAATTAGAAAGGAATATATTTATTTTGATAACTCCTAGATCGTTAAGATTGCCCTCACAGTTACCCAGAGACTATATCTCACAAGTCTGTATACTAAAATAAAAACCTTTAAAAAAGACCCTTGTATATTAGAGTTACTCTAAAACATAAACCTTCGAGTAACTAATTCATCACATGTGGTACATCTTATATTTTAGGATAAAAAAGATTTTAGTGTGACTCCACATGGAATGATTCTGCCTACATAAGTACAACTAGGGGCTTATTTCTTACCTCAAATGAAAAATATAATACATTTTCAAATGAGTATTTTGTATTTGAGTGAGATATTTGACTGTTAACCAATACCATCTTTGAAATGTTGAATATTACTGAGTTTTTTAATTTAAATTCTTCCTTTTTGAAAAAAACAGGTGATTTTTAAAAGCTTACTTAGTAACTGTTATCATAGTCACTGTGTTCAATGTTAGTCAAATAATATAGCACTGAGTTTTGGTACGTCTATTTAATGGTAAAATTAACTGTAATTTAACAAGTGAAAATTTAAGAACCATGAAATAAAGTTTTGTATTATTTAAAACTATGTAAGAGTGCAAGTAACTATTATTCACATGTACCTTATATTAGTCTTCATTTGCTTTTATAGAATTTCATATTCATAACCAGTATCAATACAGGACAATATGGAAACATAAGCTCCTACAAATTCTATGAATGGATCTGAGAGTGGTTGCTAGGACTCACTGGAGTTGACCAGTTGCTCCATGTATGGCTGTTCTATCCCTGTTGTATTTAGAAACATGTCACAATGTATCTTCAAAGAAATGTGTCATTTGTTTAAAAACTCCAAAGTTTGATAACAATTCTTGAATATTAGCAAATACTATTGCTTCACTGAAAAATACACAATCTTCTCAGATCTTAAATTCTCTGCTCCTGTAATTAAAATCCTTTAGGTGATTTCCTAATCACTACTTATGAATATTTCTACTGGAGTAAGCCAGAGATGCTTCATGCTCAAGTTCTTGAAGGTTATTGTAAGCCCCTTTTTCATCAAGATACCAAGATACTTGGGGATAACTATTCTTGAATCCTCTCTGTGTTAGAAGTCATTTTTAAGGCTCAGAAAGAGAATTAAAGAGCAGAGAGCATTCCATTTTTCAAGCATTTCTATTACTTGGAGAACTGTTCTTTTGAAGTATTGAAGACAGTCTCCATTATTTTCTCATATACCTTTGTATGCAATTCTAAATAGAATGATTTAAAATCACCACTTGATGAAGTGGTATTCCTAAATACCATTATCAACTCTTACTGGAAAAACAAAGCCTATAAAAATAAACAATCTAAAGATTTTAAAACATACATGATCTTCAACAGACATTCTAAATCAACATGCTGTAAGATTTACAGTTAAATCACTAAAACTCTATGTAGTGGCTAGATCACATTACTTAGTATATAAAAAATGTAATAACTGCAGGGTCTGTGTAACTTTTAGTGCCACACTTTAAAGTAACCACACCTATCAGGTGAAATAATCAAGCATGTTTAGGAGAGGAAACTATTATTGTCCTGTATGTGAGCATTCATCTCATTCTGTAAAGTTCTTTATGATCATTATCATAGTATAATTATTGATAGAATGTACTTAGAGATAACACATTGAGCATAACACTTCATAATTCTGATAGGCAAGATCAGGTCTCATATCTATGATGTCTGTTAATATCATAACATAATTATGTGTTAAAAAAAAAAAAAGGTTATATCAACCACCATGATATACTCACAAACTGGGTGCCAGGACTACATAGCATATGAAGGTGGGTAGCCAGTGGGTATGATTACCCCAATTAATTGTCTTCTTGTGAGTTAATTTCCTAGACATACCTATTAATCAATATTAAGTATAAAGCTCTGAAGTCATCTCCTACTTCATAGCCTTCAATGTTATCTGTTAATATTTACCTAATTCATTTTTATTCTCAATTTCCTTGGTAAAATCATTTTTCACTAACAAAAAATTTCTTTTTCATCCACTGATACTATTTCCTCACCAAAATATACTAAGAATTTCTGAAAAACAACTCTGCTAATTAATGTTCCTTTTTGAAAATATCACTTTCCTCCCTAAAATGTTCTAATAGTTCTTTGGGAAAAGCAAGATCCTTGACTTCAGTTGGACAAACCAGATGATCTCCCTGATATTGGAGCCTTCGGTGGTCCCTCCTCTGCCACCACCACGTCATGCAAGGAATTCACTCACTTGTCACCTTTTACAACTCTGAAATGTTCCTCCTTGCAAAAATGTTCTGTAAGAGAATATTTTCACCTTTTTTTGTCAATCCTATACTTTAACCAAATGATGCACTTAAATTTAAAAAAATGGCTACTAGGGCCTTCCTAGTGGTGTAAAGAGGTTCAGTCTCAGCACTATCAAGCTACCAGCAGCTTCTGAGGCAGGAGTTCTACCCCCAGCTAGGGACCACATGGCACTGAAGACATCTCCTGTTTCACCACCTGTTCCCCTCAGCAGTGTATTTCAGGAGATCTGCCTGCTCTTCTCCCCACTCTGACCTGCAGCTTCATTGTTGTGAGCATAAATAAAAATAAATCTTTTTTAAAAAAGATCTACTATAAAGTGTGCCACTTGCCTTTCTCCTTGTGTTTGCAAGTCAATGAACAATCTGCACATTCCAGTAAGATGCAGAAAACAGTTTCCAATGCCTAGAGTGGACACTACTTATTTAGTGGCCATTGAATTATAAGAGATAATTAAAATCAGCATCTCTTATTCTTTCTGAAAACAGTATATTGTTTTTATAAAATCACAGACAAATTAACCATAGTTATTTAACACTCAAATTTATAAGAGGGTCCTAGTACAATGACGCCAATAACCAACAGCGTACTTTTGTCAATGTTTTTATATTCACATAACTAAAGAACTAATGATAATAGATGCAAATTATACATTTGAAATAAGTGTAAAGTGACACACTCTACTGTCATGCTTATGATGAGTTTTCTTCTTTTGTTTCCTATGTCAAATCCTGAGAAGTGGGTGATCAGGCCATATTATCTTAATTATTACCTTTTTGTTACAGATAAAAATGAAAGTTTCGTTACATATCTCACAGATACTTAAAATCTATAGGTGCCAAATACAGGATGAAAATATTTAATAAGAAGTGATACAATAGCATAAACAATATAACCTACCCATCAAATCCCTGGAGTTCACATTCCTTCAGCAGTGACAGAGCATGTCCTTCATATTCTGTTACTGTGTTTAAAAAAATAAACACACACACACAGTGAAAATTCTAAACAATGCTTTATACTTTTAAACTTGGTTTGGCAAGATAGTATAGCAAACATATGGTGAGGCCATAAAACAACATTTATTTTTGAATATTTATATTTTAATCATAGGAAAGAGGATTAAATGTTAGTTGCCTGATGTGTTTTACAGCTTTATGTAAAAAAAAGGGCCCTACTTTTGTTCCAAGTACATAAGTCATTTGGGGATATCCCGCACATAGCAGTTAGATCATTGATCTTGGTGCTTGTCTGTTTAGTGTTCACTAAATAAAACACATTTTCTTTAACTCAGAAGCTTGGGAGCAGCAGTATTTTGAAAATAAGGCATATTAGTTGGCACCGAACAGTCAATGTTAAATCGCTTTGGCAAACTCACATGAATAAATTAGTTGAAAGGTTAGTGTAAGATTTACATACTAGAAGAATGTGTATCTGGAACTGCTAGACTAAAATGAGGAGGAATTGGATGCGAAAATGTGAAGCAAAGCCAAGACCAATGATAACAGAACCATTGCCCAAGAGGAGGGAGCACACAGGCGCACCAGAGGCTGGGTCCTCGGAGGAAATGAATCTGTCACTCCCTATCGCTGTCTCTACAGTCAGGATGCCCTGTGCAGTATTGTAAATGCCAGTGAAGACAGGATAAACTGGCACAGTGCAGATGGCACCAAGCATCCCAACCACATTTAGCATTTTCTAGGGCAGCTCTGCCAGAAGAGACAGCCCAGCTGTATCCACCCATCAAAGATTTGTGCTGACTGACATGACATTGCAGATGGATTTTTTTGTGTAAGAATGTGCATCATTATATGCAAGATTACATTAATCTTTCATGCCTGTCTGTCCCTGGTGCCAACATGGTTCAAGCTTTCCCTACAATGTTTTTAGATATTGTTAAAAATTATTAGTCTTGGTGTCTAAAAGCATCTTTCTGTTTCCAGAAGTGTTATATGATAATTCTCCCATAGCTTATCAAATTATATTAATATTCATATGAATAAAACCTCTCTATATTTTATTATAATCAAAAGAAAGCTATAAGGAAACTAAATCTAAAATAATACCATAAACCTGGAATGTTATCACAAATGATTGCTTGCTGAACATTCATTTATAACATCAATGAGTTCTTACAATCTTAAAATGCAAAATGCAAAAATGTCTGATATACACACATTAAAATAACTAAGGACATTATGAAGAAACATTTATGCTAATGTCAGTTTACCAAGTCATATTTTTACTTTGGTAAAGTTTCTCAAATCAAATACAAAATTTGAAATTATGCTATGGTTTAATGCTATATTCATTTGGCAAAAATAACTGAAATAATCTTATTTTCCCTTTCTCGCAGATGGAATTTGACAATATACAACAGAATAAGGAACAATTCCTTGACCTCAAGGAGATATTTTGGAGACAAAGGAGATTCATGAACTCTTCAAAAATAAAGGAACACTGTAAAGCAGTAATTAGTGATTATAGAAAAATAAATAAATGAAGCAGGAAAGGATTGAATGGAATATGAACTACTTTTTAGGTATAGAAGAAATCAAAATATGTTTTCAAACAGCATGGTAAGGGCTCTAGACTCAATGAACCACACTGAAATCATCCTACCCCAAGTAAACATAAAAAATAGATGCCTGATATCAAAAATAAAACCAAGACATAACAACAATAAGAAAAACTGTAGCCTAATTTCCATGATAAACTGAGATGTAAAATTCTCAACAAAATCTTAGAAAATTGAACTCAACAGTGCATGAAAATTATCACATACAATGACGAACTAAGATTATTTCAAGGACATAGAGACAGATCAGTATCTGAAAATTGAGGCGTGCAATTCACCATATCAACCAAGGAAGAGAAAAATCATATACAATCATATCAATATATGCAGAAAAGGCATTTGGTAAGATTCAACATTTATTAGTAAAACATTTATGTGTAAAATTAAGAAATGGAGCGAGAGAGAACATTCTCCAACAAAGCAGGCCATATATATCCAAGTCACAGATAGTACCATTCTAACAGTGACAAACTGATAATTTTTCCTCGAAGATCAGGCACAAGACTAGAATGTCCAATTTTACCGCTAACATTTAGCCTGGCATTAGAAAACCTACCTATCACAGTTAGGCAAAATAAAGATATAAAATGTGTGAAAGAAGTGAAACTAATTCTATTTGCAGATGTCATAACTATATTCCAAACACTCAACTAAAAGGACTAAAACAATAAAGCAGTACAACAAAGTGGCAGTTTCCAAAATCAATTAGCAAAAACCCATTACATTCCTATCTGCAAAATATTAGCTAGAAAAGGAAGGAATTGTGAAATCACATTTACAATTATATCAAGAAGATTTAAGTACCTGGGGGTAAGCTAAACAAAAGAGGCAAAGATCTTCAACAATGAAAGCAAAAAGACATTGTTCAAAGAGACACAAAGAAATGGAAAGATATTCCCTACTCATGAACTGGAAGAATTAACAGTGTTAAATGGCCATTTACCCAAAGCAGTGTACCGAGTTAACACAATTCCTATCAAAATTTCAATGGTGTTCTTCAAAAAACATAGAACAAACATTACAAAATTTATATAGAAACCACAAAAAGACTCCAAATAGTGATCCTGACAAGAGAGAGATGACAGCATGTATCAAATGATATTACCAAGCAACAGCAATCAGGAGAGTATGGTACTGGAACAAAAACATACATACAAGCCAATGGAATAGCATTAAGAGTCCAAAATAAACTCACACTTAACTGGAGAGTTAATCTCCAGCAAAAGAGCCCACAGTATATAATGGAGAAAGGAAAACCTCTTCAACAAATGGTATTGGGAAACTGGACAATCACACGTAAAAGAATGAAATGAGATCCTATCTCACGCCATATACTAAAGTACTTTGATGGAAGATCTGAAATATGGGGGAACAAAACATCAAACAACCTTTGATGGTGTAAGGGGTTAAGTCTCAGCACTATGAAGCTAACCCAAATGGCATAGCAGACCTTTCCTGTCTCGCCTGCTGCTCTGCTCAGCAGTGTATTTTAGTCATTTTACCTGTTCTGCTCCCCACTATCTCTGGTGAATCCTGTTACTCCCCTACCACTGTCGCTGGCCTACACTCCAGGTCTTGCATGCATAAATTAAATAAATCTTTAAAAAATATCTCAATGCACAAAATACCAAGAACATGAGTAAGACCCTCTGCAACACAGATTTCAGTGATATCTTTGTAGATTCATTGCCAACTGCAAGAAAACACAAGATAATATAAATAATTGGGACTACCTCAAACTAAAGAACTTCTGTATAGGGAAAAATTATCATAAAAACAGGAGGAAGTCACCCTACTGAATTGGAGAAAATAGTTGCATACCATACATCCAACAAAGGGCTGACATCCAAGACTTACAAAGAACTCATTAGGAAAAAATCCAAAAAATGGTCACAAAAGCTGACCAGGCACTGTTTTAAAGACATGCAGATAGCCAACAATTATGTGAAGAAATTCTAATCATGACATTTAGATACTACCTCACACCTAGGAGAGTGACTTATCAAAAATATGAAAAACCAGTGCTGGGTAGGGCATGGGGAAGAAAAAGGAATTCTCCTATGCTGCTGGTGGGAATATAGACTGTTCCAGTATCTGTGAAAAACAGTATGCAAGTTTCTCAAAATATTAAAAATACTTTGGTTCAGTCATTCCATTCCTAGAACTATCTACCCAAAGAATGCAAAAACACTAATTTGAAGGTAAAGGTCTACTCCCACATTCGTTTTAGCACTATTTACTATAGACAAATTATATAAACAATCTGAGTTCCTAAAGACAGAGGAATACTATTCAGCTATTAAAAAATAAGAGAGGGGGTCCTCCCTGGTGGTGCAATGGGTTGAAGCACAGCACTATAACGCTAGACATAGCCACTTCATGAGTTTGATCCCCTGCCAGGGAGGTGGCCCACGTGGCGAGACAGACCTCTCCTGGTCCCCTGATGCTCCCCTCAGCAGTGTGTTTCTTCCATCTGCCTGTTCTGCTTCCCACTCTGTCTCTGGTAAATCCTCTCACCAATATTGCACCTCTGGCTTGTGTCCCAGTTCACTATGCATAAATAAATAAATCTTTAAACAAACAAAAAAGTAAAAGAGGGCCCTGCCTGGTGACTCAGTGTGTGAAAGCACAGCATCTTCAAAGCTGGCCAAGACTGCTTCTGTGTAAGTTCGATCCCCACCCCAGAGGTGATCCACATGGCACAGCAGATCTCTCCTGACCCGACCACTGCCCTCCTCAGCAGTGTATTTCATCAACCTGCCTGTTCTGCTTCCCACTCTGTCTCTGGTGAATCTTCTCACTGTCCCTGCACCTCTGGCCTGTACTCCGGTTCTATATGCATAAATAAATAAATCTTTAAAGATAAACTCTTCCCTTTTTCTGCAACATGGGTGGGGCTGGAGGGAGTTATACTAAGCAAAGTCAGTCAGAAGGAGAAAGACAAATGCTGGATAGTGTTTCTTACATGTGAAATGTATAGAAACTAAACAGAGGGTTACATAAAATCAAGCCAATAATAAACTTTAGAGATCTGACTGTAAAACTGAGAGGACTAGAGGTGAAAGAGATGTAGGAGAGCAGAACAAGAAAGGAGCACACGGGCCAGCTATAGGTGTTGCAGGCCTGGGTGCTGGGTGTGCTGGAGTAGCATACACATGAAGGAAGTGATCTTATCCCTCTGAATCAATGCTTCCTCAATTAAAAAAAAAAGTTGTAAAGTTGTAACAGAAAACAAAAGATGTGACATATAGGCTGAATAGGATCCTTCTCAGGTATGAAAAAAAAAAAAAGAAGGGCAAATTCTTGTTGCTATTGCTGACACATGGATGAAACTAGAGAAGATGAAGCTAAGTGAACCAAACCTGAAGAAAAAAGAGAAAAGAGGT